GGCCCCCCCACAACCCCCCCTGGGCCCCCCAGAAACCTCCCTGGGACCCCCCCAAACCTCCCTGGGACCCCCCCAAACCTCCCTGGGACTCCCACAAACCTCCCTGGGACCCCCAGAAACCTCCCTGGGACCCCCAGAAACCTCCCTGGGACATTCCCCAGCGCCCCCTCCTGCCAACAGCCCCGTGCTCCAGGAGCCCCCCCAAAACGTCCCGAGGCCCAAAGCCCCCCCATCCCCGAGACCCCCAAGACCCCCAGCCCATTGTGGGGACCCCCAGCCCATTGTGGGGACCCCCAGACCCCCTCACCTTCCCCCTGGGCCGCCAGCTTCTTGCTCTCAGGCTGATCTGCGGGGGAACGGTGTGGCGTTAGGGACCCCTCCCGTCCCCCCCCCAAAGGTTTGGGGGTCCCCCCACGGTCCGGGGTGCTCTCTCCGGGTTTGGGGGTCCTGTGCCCCCCTTACCGCCATCCTCCAGCTGCCGTTTCTGCCCCCCGAAGCCCCCAAAGTCGGGGGGAGGGGGGTTGTTGTTGGGCACCGGCGGCGCTGTGTCCCCCCCGATCTTGGCTGCAATCTGGGGGGGGCAGGGGATGGGTCACCGCAAAACTGGGGGGGCCTGAAGGCCGCAGGGAACCTCAAAACCCACCAGGGACCCCCAAAATCCAACCCCAGGACCCCGAAAAACCCCCAGAGCCCCCCCGACTCCAACAGGAGATCCCAAAACACCCCGAGATGCTCCAAAACTTCCCCAAAAGCCCCCAGGCGTCACCCGAAAAGATGAACCCCCCAAACTCACGCCGAGACCCCCAAAATCCACCAAAGACCACCCAAACCTCTCAAGGAGCCCCCCAAACCGCCCAGGACCATCCAAACCCGCTGGAGAACCCCACAAAATACCCGCTGGGGCCACCCCAAAGTCACGACCTCCCCCAATACCCCAGCACGAGAAGCAGCCCCCCAAAAACTGCCCCCAAAATCCCCCGGAGGGGGGGGCCCAAACGCCGAGAACCCCCCCCCGAGAGGGTCCCCCCGAGAGCAGGACCCCCCAAAACCGACCCCAAAGCCACGTGCGGGTCCCCAGGACCCCTCCTGGAGCCCCCCCGAGCTCTCCCGGAGCCCCCCCAGGACCCCCAGGAGCCCCCCAGGGACCCTCCCGAATCGCCTCACGCTGATGGGCTCCCTCCAGGACCCTGCCGGAACCCCCCGAGCTCTCCCGGAGCCCCCCAGGACCCTGCCGGAGCCCCCCAGGACCCTCCCGGAGCCCCCCGAGCTCTCCCGGAGCCCCCCAGGACCCTCCCGGAGCCCCCGAATCGCCTCACGCCGCTGGGCTCCCCCCCCAGAGCCCCCCAAATTCTGGGGCCCGCTGAAATCTCCCCCGAGGGTCACCAGAGACCCCCGACCTGGGGCTGCCGGCGCCCAGCTCAGCACCCCCGCCCCGCGCCGCCGCTAACTAGCGCGTTAATTACGGTAATTACCGTAATTGCGGCGCCAAAGGGCGCGCGAGCCCGGGGGAGGCGCCGGGCTTTGGGGGGAATTACGGTAAAGGACCGTAAGTACCGGAATGACGGCGGCGGGACCTCCCGGAACGGGGGGAAAACAAGCGGGGGGGGGGTTGCGGGGTTTTATTGTGGGGAGGGGGGGGCCGGGGAGCGGGGCGGGAACGCGTGAGGGGGTCCCGGGGGTGGGGGAGGGGCGACCTCCCCTCCCGCGACCCCCGAGGGGGGCGGGGCCTTACCGGGAACGTGGGGGCAGGGCCGCGGCGCCCCGGGAGGGGTCGCGGGGGGTCCCCGACCCCTCCCGCCGCCTCCCGCCGCCCCGCCGCGCCCCTCACCTGCCGCGCGCGCTGCACCGCGTCGGCGAACGCGTCCTTGCGCCCCGTCCCGCCGCCGCCACCGCCGCCGCCGCCGCCCCCCGGGCCCCCCCCGGGCCCGGCCGAGGTGGGGGCGGCGGGGGCGGCCCCGGGCTGGGGGGGCGGGGGCGGCGCGGGGCCGAACTCGGACATGGCGGAGGCGGCGACGGGCACGGGCCGCGCTCGCCTCGGGCCGCGCGGGGCACGCTGGGAGCGCGGCGGGGACGCCCGCCCTCACCGGCGCCAGGCGCCCAATCGCCGCGCCGGAGAGCCCTGAGTGACGGAACTCTCCACCAATCAGCGGCTGCGGGCAGCGCTCAGCGACCAATAGAAGAAGAGAAGCCGCCGGCGCGCCGCGATTGAGGCGTGTTGGCGTGATCGGCAGCCGGGCGGGCCAATGGAAGCGCTGGGATTCGCCGCCGTGCGTGGGCGGGACTGCGGCGTGCGCAGCCAATCGAGCCGCGCACCGCCCCCGGGCAGCCCCGCGGGACGCCGCCATTGGCCGGGGAAGCGGAAATCATGGAAACGGCGGGGCGAGCACTGAGTGACGTTGGCCACGGCCAGTAGCTTGCAGCGCCCTCCTCCTCCCTGCCCCGCCGCGCAGCGATTGGAGGAGACGTTTGATTGACGGCTGGTATAGCCAATGGAGCGCGGGCAGCGGGAGGGGCGGAGCGTCGCTAGAATGACAGGCGCGGGAATCAATCGGAGGCGGGACACGAGGTGACCAATCACAGCCCGCGTTGGGGGAGGTGGAGCGTGATGGGCAGTGCGCCCACCCAATAGCGTGCGTCCCCCTGCGCGCGCCGTCCAATGAGCATCGAGCCACTATTTTGGAGGGAAACGGCGGCCAATCAGAGCCCGTGCCGCAGGGGCGGGGACGAGGCTGCGGCGCTCTGGGCCAATCGCGTGCGAGGAGGTTTCCCCATGCCCCGCCCCAGCGCTCCCAGTCCGTCCCAGTTCACCCAGTCCAGTCTCTCAGAGGTCAATAAATAAAACTTTATTGATGGGGAAGGGGCGGGGCCACCTCGGCTCCTCCCACTTCCCCAGGCCTCAGTCCGGGAGGAATTCACAGTATTTTGGTTAAAAAAAAACCCCAAAGTGCCCCAGGGGTTACTTGGGGCACCTGGACAGCCCTGAACGAGCACGGACAGCTGGCACAGGTGTGCACAGCCATGGCCAGCTGTGCACAGGTGTGTCCAGCTGTGTCCAGCTGTGTCTGCAGCCATGGCCAGGTGTGTCCAGATGTGTCCAGCTGTGTCTGCAGCCGTGTCCAGATGTGTCCAGATGTGTCCAGCTGTGCCCAGGTGTGTCTGCAGCCATGGCCAGGTGTGCACAGGTGTGTCTGCAGCCATGGCCAGATGTGTCCAGATGTGTCCAGCTGTGCACAGGTGTGTCCAGGTGTGCACAGGTGTGTCTGCAGCCATGGCCACGTGTGGCCAGGTGTGTCCAGCTGTGTCTGCAGCCATGGCCGGGTGTGCACAGCCCCATCCAGCTGTGCCCAGGTATGTCTGCAGCCATAGCTGGGTGTGCACAGCCTTGTCCAGCTGTGCCCAGCTGTGCCCAGGTGTGCCCAGGTATGTCTGCAGCCATGTCCAGGTGTGCCCAGCCCCATCCAGGTGTGCACAGATATGTCTGCAGCCATAGCTGGGTGTGCACAGCCCCATCCAGATGTGCCCAGGTGTGCCCAGGTGTGTCTGCAGTCATGTCTAGCTGTGCCCAGCCATGCCCAGGTGTGTCCAGCTGTGCCCAGGTGTGTCTGCAGCCATAGCTGGGTGTGCACAGCTATTCCCAGCTGTTCCCAGCTGTGTCCAGCTGTGCCCAGGTGTATCCAGCTGTCCACCCAGCTGTGTCTGCAGCCATGGCCAGCTGTGCCCAGGTGTGTCTGCAGCTATAGCTGAGTGTGCACAGCCCCATCCAGCTGTGCCTAGGTGTATCCAGCTGTGCCCAGGTGTGTCCAGCTGTTCCCAGCTGTGTCCAGCTGTGTCTGCAGCCATGTCCAGGTGTGCACAGCCGTGTCCAGGTGCACACAGCTGTTCCCAGCTGTGCCCAGGTGTGTCCAGCTGTGCCCAGGTGTGTCCAGGTGCACACAGCTGCTCCCAGCTGTGCCCGCCCCCAGCCCTGCTCTCAGTCCCGCGGCTCCCGGGGGCGGCTCCCCCACGCCGGGGGGCTCTGGGGGGGTCTCGGCTCCCCCAAATCCTCAGGGCTCGTCGTCCTCTGACGTCAGCGGCCGCTGGGGGAGGAAGGGGGGGTCAGTGGGGGGGTCCCTGAACCCCCTCCTGCCCCACAGCCCCATCCCGGCTGTCCCCGGGCCTCCCCACGCCCCCCCCTCACTCACCAGGGGGTCCCCGAGCCCCCCCCCATCCAGGGGGTCCCCGGGCCCTTTCCGGAAGGTGGCGTTGGTGAAGCTGATGCTGTTGGTGTTGCGCCGGCGCCACTCCTGCCACAGCGCCCTGGCGGCCACCCCCAGGCCCAGCACCAGCCCTGGAGGGCACGGGGGGTTCACGGGGGGTCCCCAAAACCGGGACAGCCCCCCCCCCCCCAAAAGGGACCCCCAAAATCGGGGACTTTGCCCCAGAAATCCGCGCCCCACCCCCGCGGCCCGACCCAGCTGGACCAACCCCCAGAGCCCCCTGGTGGCCACGGGCGGGAACTGCAGGCACGGGGCCGCCCCTTGGGGACCCCCCCCCCCCGCCGGGGT